GATGCCAGTAGCAAAGCCATCCCCAGACTTATGACAGCCAAAAATGTTTCCAGACATTGCCAACAGTCCCCTGAGGGGGCAAAAATAACCCTCAGAGACCACTGCACAATATCTTTTTTGTATCATATCATTACCCTTTGTTAACGCTGTCCAATAGTACTCCAGATTTAAAAGATATTTTTACAACTGTCACAGCTTTTAGTCTATCCTGAAACATGGGGTCAGTTTCAACTTTACCTTACACTTATGATATTTAAACAAATTTGAAGTCATCCACTCTCAACCTCGAAAGAAAAATCCTATGGCAACCACTCGAAAGACTAGAGCCAGAGAGCCTTGAAATGAATCATCCATTTATGAGATGAACGGCCACCAAAGAAACATGCTGGCCTGGAACACAATTTGGGGGTCGAGGAAAAGCCAAAAGCACATCCTAGGCTGCGCTGGTGGGCCTTGGCGCTCTTCTGGCTGCTTGTCATGAGGATCGCAGAGCAGTATCGACCTTTGTGTTCATGTCTTCCTGCTCGTGAGAGGTCTGATGGGGGGAGGTCTGATTCATTATTCTTCAGTTCTGATATTATAATGTTTATTTTCTGCCCTCATATGCTGCCATTTTTTGGCTCATCCACAGACTCTGTTTAAAAAGACTGTTTCTTTTTTGTTTTTGAGAAAGAGAGAGTACATTATATGTTAATTAATTGAATTTAAATAAAAGAGAGAGAGAGAGGGAGAGGGAGAATCTTAAGCAGGCTCCATGCCCAGCGTGGAGCCCAAAAGACTGTTTCTTAGCAGTTTATTCAAATCCACAGGACATCTCCCACGTAGATAAAACGTTACATGGGTGCTTTGTTTCCAATTTATTACTGAACTCATGATGTACCTGATTCATTTAGTCCATAGATTGACAAATATTTATTCAGTGACAGTTAAGAGCCAGGTACTGTCTTGGGTACTAGGAACATCAAGGTGAGTAAACCAGGTGAGTTTCTTCATTGAGCGTCTGCCTTTGGCTCAGTGCATGATCCTGAAGTCCTGGGATCAAGCCCCACATCGAGCTTCCCGCTCACTGGGGAGCCTGCTTCTCCCTGCCCCACCGCCCCTGCTCATGCTCACTCTCTCTCTTTCAAATAAATAAATTAAATCTTTTTAAAAAAATAAGCAGAAGAATAGGACACAGACATGTACTGAGAGAAGACCATGTGAAAACAGAAAAGATGCCATTAAAAACCCAAAAGATCCTAATCTCTTTGTATCAGGGGTTGGCAAACTCTAGCCAGTGGGCCAAATCCAGCTTGCTGGCTGTCTTTGCACCACCAAGCCAAGAGCAGTTTTTACATTTTTGAATGGTTGAAAAAAATCACAGAAAGAATAATACATGGTTCTAGGTGTCTTTCTTAGAGGCTTAGAGAGTGTAACTCTCTACTCATTCAAATTTGACTCAGCAGCATACCTAACCTGGCACCTTTGCTGATCTCTACATGTGGGATGTGCTCCCTCCCTCAGTTTCTTTCAAAATCTGTTTCCAGTCATCTTTCCCATATGTAGATGTAATCAGGCTCCGCTAGCAGTCAAGGTTCCTTAATGTCTAGCCATCACCTACTGAGTAAAGTCCAATCTACTTTGCAATGCCCCCCGAAGAAGCCCTATAGGATCTGGCCTTGACTTCTGCATGGCTTCGCCTCCCACTATTTCCCTCCCTCCAACCTTGTAACTTCCCCAGACAAGCTCGTTCTCTCCAGTTCCTTTGCCTTAGCACCCACTGTTGTTTCCAATTTTGCATTTCTACTAGGCAAACCCTCCCTCCTCTTACCCAACCTTCCGGTCTTCACTGAAACACCACCTTCTCTAGAAAGCTTTCCTTGATCCCCCAGACAGATGTCTGGGCCTTTTCTCCTAGGCACCCCATTGCATCTGGTACTGACTTCCAGTATCACAGTCTCTATGTTTGATGGATCAGATGTGCTTTTCCTTATTCAAGTTTAACTCCTTAGGGACAAGGACTGTGTTGTCACTTTGATAACCACAAGCCTAGTACTGTTCTCAGCATATAATAGGTACTCATTAAATTTTTTAAAAATAATTAACCAAGGGGACATAGCAAATAAAAATAGAACATATCTCATAGGGGTTGGTTTATTTCCATGATGGGCTATGGTTCAGAGCTTGGCCAGCTATAGCCCAGTGGACAAATCCAGCCTTCCACCTGTTCTTATTAATGAGGTTTTATTGGAACACAGCCACACTCATTCATTTCTGAATTGTCTGTGGCCGCTTTCTGCCACAAAGGCAGATTTGAGTAGTTTTGACAGAGACCACATGGCCTGCAAAGCCTGAAATATTTACTGTCTTGCCTTTTACAGAAGAACATAGTCTAGAGATAATTGAGCCAATTGGAGGTCATATTCTTAAATGCTTTGTAAATGAATAGGCATGTAATCCCATTTTGACACTTCAGATAGCAGTGGGCTTTCCTGGATACCTAAACTTCATATTTAAAAGTCACCGACTCATCTGGAACTTTCATTTGGGGGGAAAACACTGCAATTCACTGATACTGGACCTTGTGGTACCCTAAGCCTGGAGGGTGTGAGTGAGAGGTACACCCAAGGCGTGAGTCCCTAGCTCCTGTCTAAACTTGGGTTTCCTCTGATTATACCAAAAAACAGGAAAAAGAAAGAAAAAATGCAAAACATACTGGGCCTGGAAGAATTCATTTTTCAGTTCGCCAAATGCGATGGCCGTTACCCACTTTGCCTAGATTTGCTCACTCACTTCCCTGCCCAGACTGTCCTCACATCATGCCCCTGAACCCAGCCTGGGCTCCTGTTACTTCTCACCATTATCCACTGGACACAAACTCAGACATGTGAAGACAAGCAAAAAGCCCTCACTTGCTTTAACTCCTTCCCGGTCATGGCGTTCCCTGTGTGGCCTTTCCTGGCCACTCTCTCCGAAGCATAAGTCGTGTCCTCTCCTCACACTGCCAGTCCCTTCCCTGCTTTTTGGTCCATCCTTGGCCGTTACCATATTTAACACACTATACCCTTTACTTACCCTGTTGATTGTCTGCCTCTACTGGAGGATAACCTCTCCATCTGTTAAATGCATGCCACCCTACATAAGAGGGGGGCAATACCAAAGAATGAACAGAGTGCCATTTACTGTCAGAATGAACATTCTAGGCAGGAATTTGCTACCACGAGGGAGTGCAGGTGTTTTAATAGCTGCTGGGGCCAGCCTTTCTTGTCTCTCTTCTGTGAGTTGAGCGGTGAGGATGGTGAGGTCTTAGGGGACTTCTTAAGGGTTCCTCAGGTCCCCAGCAGCTCCCGAGCACTGCCCTTGGGGGCCAGCACTGTCCCTTCCTCCTAGAACTTCTTTTGATGGTCAAGGCACTGCTAGCAGGTCTTCCAAACTCTTGGGTGGTGGCTTTCTGTGGGTCACAGGAAGTCCTCAGTAAGGGGACGTCAGGCTTCAGAGGATCATGAGGACTTATTTCTCGGGGCATCACATCCTCACTGTCTGCAGGGAGGGCAGAGCTATTCACTCTGTGGATGTGTGCGTGCACACGAACATACTCACGACTGGGGGAGTCTTGCCTTTCCTTCTTCGATGTGGAGGATTTTAACATCAGATGTCTCTGTAATTATACATAGTTCTTATAGATCGCATCTCTGTACCTTTCGTGATCAAAGCAGCTCAGAGTGCTGGAAATAGAAACTTCACTGGTTACAATTTAGCAGAGTTTGAGGGCACGTGTTCTTAGCTTGAGTTCTGATTGGTTCCCAGTCTTGTGAAGTTTTATGATTTGGGGAAAAGTACTTAACTTCTGCAAGCCTCAGTTTCATCTGCACTATAATATAGTCACATATACTGAATATTACTATAATATTACTATAATGTATCATACACATATATTATAATCATGTGTCATAAGTATATATTTGTATCTAATAATATATGTTATATAGTAGAAATATACTAGATTGTATTATTATATAGCATACTGTATTATTAAATACTATGCAGTTTACTCTTGAACATTGTGGAAGTTGGGGCACCAACACCCCCATGCAGTCAAAATTCCATGTTTAATTTTTGACTTGCCCCAATTTAACTACTAATAGGCTACTACTTGACTGGAAGTCTTAACAATAACATAAAGTCCATTAACACATATTTTGTCTGTTACATGTATTGTAGACTACATTCTTCCAATAGAGTAAGCTAGAGAAAAGAAGATGTGATTAAGAAAATCATAAGGGGGTGCCTGGGTGGCTCAGTCAGTTGGGCGTCTTCCTTCAGCTCAGGTCATGATCAGGTCCCAGGACCAAGCTCCGTGTCTGGCTCTCTGCTCAGCGAGGAGTCCACTTATCCCTCTGCCCCTTCCCCACTCCGCTCATGGTTGTGCTCTGTCTCTCTCTGTCTCTGAAATAAATAAATATCTTTTTTTAAAAAAGAAAGACATAAGGAAGAGCAAATATATTTACTGTACTATACAGTATTTATCCAAAAATATCCAAGTATAAAGTGAGTGGACTTGTGTAGTTCAAATCTGTGTCATTCAAGAGTAAAGCAAAAATGGTAACCACCTCATAAGGGTGTTGGTAGGCTGTCCGTACGCGCTTGCCCTCACAGATGTAGCGCACACGAAGGCAACTAGTAGCGATTGTTGCTGTTTCTGAGATATGTAACCACAAAGATCCGGTGCATTCCTGGAGAAGAGAGGCAGTAGGACCCTCGAAGTATCTTTCCAGAGCTTCCTTTGGCCTCTGTGTGAATTGTTATATGGGATCACATGATCCAACAGCTCCTAGAGATTTGGATGTTTGCAACAGACCGAGAAAATTCCCAATTAACTGAGAGTAGATTTGATTGGAGGGATGGAGAGACAATTTTGGAACCGAAAGAGGAAGTTTGCTTGACTCTGTGACTAAGAGGAAGGATGATCTTTGTGAGACCTAGACGAGCTGTGTAACGCCTGGTGTGTTCTTGCTCTGCAGGGTGATTTCACCTGGAACAGCATGTCGGGCCGCAGTGTGCGGCTGAGATCTGTCCCCATCCAGAGTCTCTCAGAGCTGGAGCGAGCCCGGCTGCAGGAAGTGGCTTTTTATCAGTTGCAGCAGGACTGTGACCTGAGCTGTCCCATCACCATTCCCAAAGGTAAGGCCGTGTGTGCTGTTCCACCAGGGAAAGCTGTGAGTCAGACGTCTGTTTTGCCAAAGCTGCAGACTCATCTCACACCTGACATTAACACAGGAAGGAAGTGACAGCTTCTCGGTTGTTGGCTAGCATTAGTGTCCACTTTGAAAGACATGTTCAAGGAGGACAATTGACATGTCGGCCAATATGTTTATTGAAAGGGAAGGTCAGCTTGAGGTATTAAAAGGGAAAGCCATGTGTATCTCACTAGTCTACATAACTTCAGAACAGTCCATTGAAAAGAACTTTCCAAAAGGTCAACTTCAAGAACTCACGCTAAAACCGTGTCTATTTCAGCAGGATTTCAAAATAATCCATTGAAAAGAATGTTTTTGCAATCTATTAAACGTGTCATTTGACCTTATGCTAACCCAGAATCAGGGATTATACTCAGGTTAACTCGTTTTTATGGTCTTTCACCTGGCATGTCCATGCTGAGCCATTCAGACCTGGTCAGCTGAGGTTTTCACAGATACAGGTCCTGATTCTGGTAAAGATAAGACGCATGTATTTGAAATCTTGTCATCTATGAAATTGTGTTTTTGAATGTTTACCCTCTTCTATGAGGGTCCTTTATACTTGGTGGAAGCGTGTAGCACAAAGGTGACTTCTTCTTTTAGTTTCTCAACAAAACAGAAATGTTGTTGGCAAACCTGATTTGTAGTGAAGGGAATGAGGACTCTAAAAAGTTCTACGAAACCGAGATTGGATGCACATCAGATAAGATACCAGGGAACAAACATTCTTTTTAGCTTTGTTTTTCAATCCGGTTAATTTGATGTTTCTCTTTGTTCCTGCTTTTTAAAGACTCCACTAAATAAATAACCTTTACCAAACAGACAGTTTTATAAAAATTGTCTGCTGGAAGCTCTGTCTCCATTACTCGTTTCCGAGACTTGTGGTTCCCAGCATATTCACGGAAACATTTGCTCTGTTGAGATGTTCAAAGATGTTTGGGCTACCGGAGTTATTTTGATACTTTCTATCAAAATAGGAACGAATGATTTACAAATAATTTCTTCCTGATGGAGGAGAGAAGGAATCGTGTGGCTGGGTAGAGAGAAACAGGCATCAACCCACCCGAGAGTTCTGAAGCTCTTGTTTGAGGTAGACAATTGTAGACATCAACCGAGGTCCTTCAAATCCAGGACAAGTGCTGAGTGCCATGATGGCAGCTTTGGTCCAAGGGTGGCCACTTGGTTCCATGTGAACCCCCAAGTCTGACCCGAAACAGGGTCAGACTCACTGTGTGAGTAACTTATTCAGGAAAAAGCAGTACAGTGGCCACAACCTAGAACCTAAAGAAATGATGACAAGCCTAACGAGATGGTGGGTATGATGAAAATGGAAACATTCTCGAGCTCACGCTTCTGTTCTTTGTCACTCTAGGAGGATTGTAGGGATTTGATTATGGGTATCTGTTTGGAGACCCCTCTTCCTCCGGGATACTGGTGCTTCCAGGGTTCAGATGAATGAAGCCTGGCATATTCATCAGCTACTTGGGTTCCCTGTAGAAAGGGAAGAATCGAGGAGTGGATGGTGGGGGAGTGACCAAAGTGACTCCCCAGAGTGACTGCAGGAATGGGATCCAGAGCACCAGCAGAGTCTGACCTCTCGAGCTAAAATGAGAGGCGGACATCGGCGATAGGGGCGCAGAGGCAGGCCGATTAAAAGACGCCGTCAGCGAAGTAAGAAGCAGTGCCATCTTCTAGGAGTGAGGGTGGTAAGGAGGTCCTGGAGGCTTGAGGAAAGAGAAGAAGAGGGGAAGAGAGGGCAGCTGATGGCCCCGCGGTGTTGCAGGATTGCAAAGCAACCCGAAAGATCCATTTGAGGTTAGTGGCTGGGAATTCAAATTACAAAATAAACATCCTGGCAGTAAACATAGCTAAACCGGGACATACCACTTTGCGCTTTAAATTCCCAGCCCCGGAGAATCCAATCTCTCCCCAAACTTAGGATTTTCTAGTTGAGCTCAGTGATGGTGGAGAGGGACAAGGCCATTGTAAGGACATCAGTGGTAGGCAAAAAACTGCACTCCCAAAGATGGCCACGTCCTCCTCCCTGGAGCCCACCAGTGTTCCCTCGTAGGCCCCCAAATCTTTGCAGATGTGATCAGTCAAGGTCCTTGAGATAGCAAGAGGATCCTGGTTTATCTGGGATGGCCAAGGCTAAGCAGTACAGGGTTACTGGAAAGCAGAGAAACTTTCCTAGCTACGGCTGAGTCTGAGAGAGCCAGGATTGTTGGAGGAACAGTCAGAGCGAGGAAACGGATTGTCCTGAGAGCCCTGGAAGGGATACAAGCTGCTGGCGCCTTGATTTTAGCCCAGCGAGACCTGTTCCAGACTTCTGACCTCCAGAAATGTGAAATGATAAAATTGAGTTGTTTAAGCCACTAAGTTGATGGTTGTTTGTTACAGAAGTGGTAGGAGACTAGTTAATACAGCGTCCACAGGAGTGATGAGAATTCCAGACCATGGGATCTCAGTTGGATAAGAAGGGGAGTTAGGAATAAGTACAGAAGTCTGCATTTTTCTTGAATAAGAAGAATCCGTAAAGCAAAGATGTCAATTATGTCATTGATGAGCTATAAACTGAGTGTGATTCCAAAAACCACACCAGAACAATTTGCTTTTGGATCATCACTAAATTGTTCTAAACATCTAGACAAATAACCGTGTACGAGTAGGCAGGGGAAATCTGAGAAAGAGGTCAAGTGGAGAGTGTCCCTGCCCATTTAGTAAAGTGTCATACGACTAGAGCAGTTAAGAGTATTATACTGCTGCCCCATGGGCAGATCAATAGAAAGCAGCAGAGCCCAGAAATGAGCAAGAATAAATACAGCAACTTACGACGTGATAAATACTACTTTTTTTTGATCAAGGGAAAAATGATGGATTATTATTAAGTATTAGTGACAGTGAGACAACCGTTGAGGGGAAAAGGTTGGACTCTAACCTTAGTCCTTACGTCAAAGTAAGTTGATATGCAAGAATTATTAGAGGATTTTTTAAAGATTTTATTTATTTATTTGACAGACAGAGATCACAAGTAGGCAGAGAGGCAGGCAGAGAGAGAGGGGGAAGCAGGCTTCCCGCCGAGCAGACAGCCCGATGCGGGGCTCGATCCCAGGACCCCGAGATCATGACCTGAGCCGAAGGCAGAGGCTTTAACCCACTGAGCCACCCAGGCGCCCCTAGAGGATGTTTTTAATGAAACTGTAAGTGTGCCAAAACAAACCATAAGTGGATATTTATTTATTTTTACATTGGAGAAGGCATTACCCAGAAAACATAAAGAAAGAGAATGACATGTATCACTATGTTGAAGAAGAAAAGATAGAATCATTTGCGTGGCAAACAAATAAATAGAAATTCACAGCACATCTGACCAACTAAAGGCTAACTTCTGTACTGTATAAGGCTTTATTACAAATTAATCTGGAAAAGACAAATAATTAAAATATACGCAAATTATGGGCAGCACACAGAAAAAGTAACACAAATGGCTGAGAGATACTGAAAAAGGTGCTCACCCTCCTATGTACAAAAGACATGCAAGCGAACCACCAAGGAGGGTTTTTTTTCCCTCTTAGATTGGGTTGGCTCCAGAAGTTGGGTGATAAACTTGATGGGAGGACAGACACTCTCATACTATTGTAGGGGCCACTCTTACGGTAACTTACAAGGCAAATGGGCAACAGCTAACTTTTAAATGGCTCAGCTATCTTACCTCACAGATAGACCTTTGTGTTAGCTGAGGTAGGCTAACCCTCCGCGCCTCAGCATGACAGAAGTTCCTTACTCAGACATGTGTCCCAGGCAGGGTGGCAGTGGGAGTGGGGAGAGGGACCAAACCGCATGCAATTATTCGGGGCCCTAGGCTTCTCATGTCTTGTGACAGCTTCTTCCTTGAGATCCATTCAGCCAGGAGACAACGCAAACTAAAAACTGATACTTACGTAAACGTTATAAAATGACTGATAAGCTTAATTCTCTATCCCTTCTAATCTTAAGCTGCTTCAACAAAGGACTTTTTTTCAGATTATAGTTTTAATATCTGTAGCGTTAGTTGCATTTATTTTTTTTTATTTTTTTTTAAAGATTTTATTTATTTATTTGTCAGAGTGAGCACAGGTAGACAGAGTGGCAGGCAGAGGCAGAGGGAGAAGCAGGCTCCCGCTGAGCAAGGAGCCCGATGTGGGACTCGATCCCAGGACGCTGGGATCATGACCTGAGCCGAAGGCAGCGGCTTAACCAACTGAGCCACCCAGGCATCCCCGTTAGTTGCATTTAAATTCCTTAAATAAAAATTCCACTACTGAATTTCTATAACTAGTCACATGTCTAGAAATGGTTTAAGGGACTAGAGAACCTAGAGAAATCTTTGATGGTAGCGATCGGGAGGTCTTTCGGTGGGAGGGATGCTATCTGTGACTTCCCTGTGAGCCTGAGTTTCCCCCATGGAGACAACCGTGGCATGTTTTTCCTCCTGATCAAAGGCTGCTCTCGGCATAGGCTTTGGAATCAGACCTCCTAGTCTGTAAATGGCCCAATCCTGAATAGCAGAACCAGGAAAACAGATGCTGGGAGCGGGGTCATGAAATTCAACAAGACCTCAGGCCTGCGTGAACTCTTCATTTATTCACAACACATCAACAGAGTACTACTTACCTATCAGATAGCGGGTTAGGCTCAGTTGACATGCATCTGGTAGCTTTTCAATACAAATGGTCTAAGGCGGGGGTTAGCCACTGGCCTGCTGGTCCCACCCAGCTCCCCAACTGTTTTCTGTAACTGAAGTCTCCCGGGAACGCCGCCGTGCCGTTCCACATACGTCTTGTCTCTGGGGCTTTCAGGCAGCAAACGCAGACTTAAGCAGTGACAGCCCCTATGTCTCACGGGCTCAAGTGTTTACTCTCTGGGCCCTAGCAGGAAAACTTTGCTGTCGACGATAAGATGAAA